AAGTGTCCAGCAAACGAAATGCCATTTAGTAACTAATACACAAAGCCTCTTGTCAGATCCTCTTCAAAGAGCCATATCCATTGACCTACTTGCTGGCCTTGGGTTTTTTCCTCTTCGGACAAGCACCTGGTATGAGGGGACAACTAGACAAAACAGACACTTGAGATGAACACAAACGGCAAAGATGAAGACGGGGGAGGACAGAATACAGATACTGAATTCAGAGCTTATCACCATTCATTCAAATTATGGCTCTGTCTGAACAAAATGCTCTCTTCCTTGCATTTAGTTTGAATATAACTGCTGCTTGCATTTATTTCGAATTGTTTGCAAATACATTTGCTATACCCACCATTCACCTGTAATGAACATTTTTTAAATAATTAAATAAAACCTCTAAAGTGGGTTTTTTTTTCACACTGCCACTGGCCAACAGATCACACCACTTATTAGGCAAACCATTTCAAATATTTTAGTAATACTTTCAGTTAGGTGAATATTTCTTTAATTTACAGCAGAACAAAAGATCAAACCTGCCATAAATCCAACAAAACGTGATGTCAAATATTGCACTTTTATAATTTGTCACCTGTCCCAAAATTGTCTGATTTAAATTTTCAACACTAGCTAAATTCCATGTTCTCATGTGCTCTTCCAGGAAATGCTAATAATAAATATGACCATTCACGTCTTAATTGAGAACCTCTCAAGCTTTAGGAGTTTGCTCAGCACAATAAGAAATGCTAATGTGAGTCATGCCTAAAAAAAACGGCTTTCGGAAGTCATACAAGCAAGAATTGTTGATTTACATAAAGCTAGAAAGGGTTAGAAAATTATTTCAAAGGGGCGCTCCCAGTCTACAGTAAGGCAAACCTTCTACTAATGGAGACACATTGGGACTATGTGGATAAGAAGATTGATTGGTGAAACCTCCCTCTCTCCCACCAGTCACCAATAACTGTGGTGCCCTGAATTTGAACTGAATCAGCTTCATTCAGCTTCAATCAGCTTCCATAACAACATTGAAAGGTTAGCAGAACAAGTTGAGGAACATTATTGAAGAGTTCTTGGGATTATTATTTGTCTCAGAAAAGGAACAATTAAGGAGAAGCATAACCACAGAAGTTGGAATAACCGGCCTTTTTATTTCATATTGTCTTAACTTATATCAGTCAAGCAAGGCGTTTCGAGGGTTTTTCGATGCTGGAAATTTATTTATAATGTTTTTGGTGTAATGGAAATTGCTGATGGTAGCTTAGCAACCACAGACAACTCCATGGAGAAAACCGGATCCTTTCCACTGGTTTTCAGGTATGATACGTGAACAGCATGTAGTGCTGAAATGTTTCGACAATTTAAAAGGTAAACAAATATTTTGATCCAAAATCTATGGTCCATGAAATTATGGGCATACAGTTTAGGGCTGGAACTGAAGAGTGTAAAAATAAGGGCTGCAAAAAAAAATCTACAGACAAATGGAAAAATTATTTTTAAACAAAAGGAATGAAAAATCAATAAAAGTCTGGGTTCAGACACTGGAACAAGCTCAAAACCTGCTTCACAATGCAACATGGAATATGAAAAACACTAGCTTTAGAATTTATTTCAGATGAGTAACCGATGCTTTATCATCCAGTTATGCTGAAGTAAGGACTCTTCAGTGTTCTGTAATGATTCGGTCAAGAGAGCTAAATTGCTCTCTTTGACTGGGACATTTTTAATCCGTGACCCAGCAAATTAGCTTTACCTCAGAGGGACTCAACAGTTTTTGCTTCAAAATACATTTTTAGTCAATAAATAAATATGCCAATAGCTAAACATGTTCACTTGCTCGGAAATATCTAAATTGAACAACTCTGAATTAATGGAAAAGTGGATACTGAATGCTTCGGTACTGTACTGTAATGCTTCGGTAAAAGCGCAAAAATACATGAAGAAGAGCAAATAGGACTGAGCTGGACAACATATTAAGCTGAAATCAAAATGGTGTGATGGGAAGAGGTGAGAAAAGGAAGGAGGCAGAAGATGAAAATGAATTTGTGCCCCGTAAAGGGGCCCGTGCTTTAGAGAGAATTACTAGCAACTGGAGAACGAGAGAGAAACACAGATTGTGACAAGTTATCTTTTTATTTAAATGATTACCCTGTTTTTACAAACTCTGTTTTTTGGGAAAACTCTGTGTCAATATTAATTAGTGTCATACCAATTTAATTAAATGAAAATAAAACATATTTGTTTTTCATTACTATTTACTTATTTGAAAATTAGAAATGAGTGAAGCAAACAAAAGCACAGGTCTCTGTGTCTCTTTGCCCAAGAACATCACATTAAACGGAGATGATCGTTTCACTTTTAAAAGAGAACCCGATGCTTGACAAAATCATTATTTATAATACATTTTTGTTAATGAAAAATAACTGTTCACTATATATTTGTCATTTTATATAATATATTTATTATTACTTAATTAGAGTCATTGTTATCAGGGGGTATGTGAGGCTGAGGTGTTTAAAGGGGTACACGGCTGGAAAAAGTTTAGGAACCATAGGTGGATAGTGTTCTATATTTGATGTATAGTTAAGTTTGTGTGTGTTGCACTTTCTGTGCATTTTTCATCCAATGTTAATAAAATTTTCTTTCAGTGGCATTATTATCTTTTTTCACAATGTAAAAAATTGTCTAATGGAAACCATTTGGTTGGTGATCAAATAGGTTAATTTTGAACCCTGGTTGCATATATATAGACATTTTTATTTACTAAACTTAAAGGTGTTGAATTCAGTGTGTTTTTATGGTTTCACCATTACGCATTCTCCCTGTCTTCATGTTTCAGTGATAAATGACAGGCTTAGCCATGAAAATCTGAGATCCAAAGAGATGTCTTGTAAAATTTATTCCAGGTCAGAAAGATAAACACATCCAGGCACCCCAATATAAATTCAAACAGACATTCTGAGGTGACCTCAGATCTGTGAAGAGGATGACTGTCATCAGTCATCCGCTTCACAGAGTAGATTTTCACAACACTAGGGTACTGAAAATAATAGTTACACATTTTCAACTCAAGTATTTTGCAAAGTTATGTCTATTAAGCAAAAATGCTACAAAGTAGATCCTACAAATATGACAATCAGTTGTTCATAGCAATCTCAAAGTATTCATAAAATAAAGAGAAGGACAGGTAGTTCTTCCCATGACCAAATATCTCGCTCAACGGCTAGAGCTCGCCTGAGAACAACAATGAAAGCTCTGTGTCCAATTATAAAAGGACGGCCGCCGTCTTCCTCGAGTCTACTACTGTCAGAGTGTTTTCCCCCTTTTTTCTTTCAGTCCCCTCTTTTTGGAGGCCCTTTAGCAGCTTTACTTTAGACTGGCCCCTACTTTTAAATGAGAGCCCTCAGTCAGGCGGGGTGTGCAGGCTCACTCAGACACAATCAGAGTCTGAGTCCACCCATGGCAGTCCACTTTCCCAAAATGGTTTCATATATTAAAGCTAAACAAGCGTCTTGAGCCTCAAAGCTAAACTAGCACGTAACTCACACATTCATTTTCCAAAAAAATAAAACAGTAGTGGCCACAAGACATGTCCAAGTTTATTCCAACGCAGTGAGGTTATATTAAAGGAGATTAGGGTTGAATAAATTATAATCAAAGATGATGTATAAATAAACAATAATAAATGGGGAGTTTGAGTTCTGTTGCAAATGTGTGGAATATACAGCAATTATTTATTAAGGAGCCATATAAAGTTTCTCGGAACGCCTGATTTTAGAGTACAGTGGACTTGATCCTCTAGGTTATTTATTTATAAATTGCACCTATTTCTGCAAACAAGTCTGTTCCAAGGGTTTTCTCTCAACACTATATCTGTTCTCTTCCAAAAAGTGCAATAATAACTGAAACACCATGATCAAAACCATGCAGTCACATGCTGATTGCAGTCATTTATTATTATCGACAACATTGCAGCCCTAAATTAGGCAACAATCAAAAGTATCTCCTACCAGTTTCTCATCCACAGTGACGAGCTGTGATTCCTGTCCAGGTGCTGAAGTTAGCCTGCATCCTGATGTGCTCACTGACCTAGAAAACAAGAAGTGTTGTTAAAAGATTATAAAACAAAAAAAAAAAAAACATTTTATTTCCCTACATTCTCATCAAACTCAAAAATTGCTAAGAGGCTGTTATTGACTATAAGTAAAGATTTATTATTTGATCATTTTCACTTTTTAAAAACATACAAAAAGCCAATTATAAAGAAAATCATACCAACAAAAAAGGGCACACATGTTGGTATGATGTCTGTCTACCAGTCAAAGAACACTTCTGGCCAAAATGGTGCTTTCTGACAAAAATATTGAGAAGATGTATATTTAGAAGCTGCATATGCTGTATATATAAAGCTACACAGTTAGTATTAGTAAACAACCCAATAACCCAGAGGCTACGTTACAAGTGGGAGGCAACAGCCATGTTTGTGAAGTGAACATTTACTTTTTCTTCTTGATTTTTTTCTCTTGATATTACAGTAGATACAGTGATGGAATTGTAGCAGTTGACTAACTCTATGTTCATAAGCATGTAATCGATTCAAATTATTTTTATTTCTGCTGGGAGATATATTTTTACTATTGCAGACAATTAACCACACATCCCATGTGCAAAACCCCCTTATACTCATATATAATACATTCAGGTGTTTTTTTTTTTTTTGTTTAACACCAATCTATGAGTACTTTCATGCATTCATGCTTTCTGTTCTCAATTCCAAGGTTTGTGTTCACACTATTAATTTGCCAAGCACATAGAATACACGTAGGTTAAAGAAATGTGAAAGTGACGTTATGACCAAGTATGAAGTGACCCATACAAGGAATTTGTGCTCTGCATTTAACCCATCCAAGTGCACACACAGTGAATAAACACACACCGGGAGCAGCGGGCAACTGGTGACTTGCTCAGTAATGGTTGTCTCAGGGAGAGAGTTTCAACACTCATCCCACCTTCGACTCCTGGTCGAACCAGTGACCTTTTGATTTCCAGTCAATCACCCTATCCACTAGGCCACAATTGCTAAAGGGTGAAAGGAAAGAAGATGCACCCAGGCCTCTTGCGTCATATAAAGGGTAAATGACACTGTTAATGTTTTTGTTATATATAGAAGCAGCTCTGTGCACGAAATAAGTACTATACTTTTTTTCAAAGGTTTTATTTTTGCAATAAATAATGCCATAATTATTGCACACACCATTTCTGTCCAGAGATCCCCTTAATGTGCCAATTTTATAATATTGTATCTGTAATAATATTGTGATGGATATGTACAGAAATTACATTAATTATTTACCTATATTCACAACATAATTCTTACAAAAGCCCCATAAGATGCGTTACATAAACAGTATATGCTACAATGTTGCAAGCAACAGTAAATGTATTGACACTATTATAGTGAATTTCTCATATTTACTGTAAGTTAATTGAAAAAAAAACATTGCAAAGCAAATTATTTAATAGTCCGTAAGCTCAAGAGTTTTTACGTCAACAGCTGGACAATGCACTCTGTTTGCAAGCGCAAATGTTTTCATCGAAAACTGACAGGTGACACTGGCTAGCTGTGAGCTAACTGGCTAACTTTGGAACTTTGAACAAGCAAGCAATCAAATCGAGCCTCATGGAGTTTCACCAGAATATGCAAACATGTAATAAATATTATTAATTACCTGAGAGGATTCACTAAAGGTTTTGTGACTTGCTTAAATGAGAGAAAGCGGCTAATACCAAGAAGTGACATTGAAGACGCCATGTTTTTGCTTCGAGAGATGTACGGCAACCAACAGAGTCCAAACGCGAGCGAGGCGTATTTGCTCTCTGCCTGAAGAGGGAGTTGATGGGGAATTTCATCGAGGAGCCCCCTTTTTCAGCTAAAATATATAAAATTCTTCATTTGTTCAATTTTAAACATTTGATAATTCTATCTCATTACACACTATTTTTATTAAAGCGAATTGGTGATAAAACATGTTTAACAGCACTAGTATAAAATAGAATGTGCCTATAAAAGCAAAAAGACAAATAACTATTTCCTTTATTTGGCACCATTAGAGAAGAAATGAAAATACATTTTAATGTAAAGTCTGAAATGTTTCTTACATTTCATCAAACTAATTTTTAGTGAACAAATTTAACAAATGTGTGGCCGCTCTATAGGGAACATAACAGAAGCAAAATATCCTAGGCATGTCTCTTAATTTGGGTTCAGGGCTCTTCAAAGGCTTTCTCTAGATGGGTCAATTTTCTCCTCCATTCTCAGGATTGGACTGGTGCAAGACAGACCCCCTCTTGGGACTTCAGGCATGCCACAACATAACACACTCATTTTCCGCTATTTATCAGTTCCTGGATGGTTCTTTTACTTTTTTTCATTCCGCCATTCATTGTCATGAGTTTTTATTTGTGTCTACTTTAAAGAGACCTATCCTCTTGGGATGAGATCAAAGATTCTATAGATAAGAGAAAGAACTCAGCGCTCCAAGAACAATCCACAACACTTCACCACCGGAATCTCTATTTACCTCAATGAGGCCCATTCATTGACACTTAAAAAGAGAGTGGAACATCCTTGTAGAGGTTCAGTCTTGGGTAGAAAAGTGAATTATTGAAATAACCCAAGACAAAAGTTTGCTTTTTTTGAAATCAGCAAGGTTTTTTAACCCTTATCTGAAAATAAAGTATACAATAGGTCAGCAATTTTCATTAGATGTAACATATTTTCATTCAATAACAATTTTTGACTGCTAGCTATATGTATTTTCTGGGGTGACTGTGAGCTACATTTTAAAAGAAAACACACAATCTGAGCGGAACATTGATACACTTGTATTAAGTGGCACGTTGTCTCTCAAATAGTTAATCAATGGGAAAGCAAAAAGAGAAAAACAGAGCAACTTTCTTTTCCTCCGCTTCCCTCCCTCACTCCTGTCCTGTTTGAAGGAGATGCAAGCTGGCAGCACTGGAGAAGCTTGAAGATTAATGGTGTAAAGGGGGGCTCTGACAGCCTTTCCGCTGGATGCAGTTCTCCTGGGTGGCCCGATTGGTCTTGGATGTCACTTTTGCTACTTAATCTTGTGTATGTGAAACAGCCTGACATGCCTGAAGAACTCAGTCTGTCCACGTCTGTATAGACATCAACCTGTGAGACACTTACAAGCTACGTATAACTGTTAGCATGCCCCTTCAAGACACTCCTGGGGTTTATGATGGGGTTGAGGATAGCAACTATCTATTCGATTGGGAACAGAATCAAAAAATGTGGTCTCCTTTAGAAAATGTAGACCATATGATTGTTTATATTGTGTAAATGAATGCAAATCTTGCTAGTGAGTGAAGCTGCTAAAGCACAATCTGCTGACCAGTTGGGTTTGGTAATGGTGGGTAAGGATTTCCACACAGATTACAGATCTGAGGAGATAAAGAATAGTCTGTCAGTCTGTCATCCTGTTGCTGCAAGGTAAATGAAGTAAGTAAACTAGGAGCCTCTGTGGTAACAATTCGGTTTTCTGGTTTTAAAAGACAAAATGTTATTATTCTCTCAATTTGTGATGCAGAGATAGCTGTAGAGGTGTGAGCTTATGGTGATGAAGAATTTCCTTTAAGCCGACAATCAGAATTTTGATTTGTCCGATTTGTCCAATCAACATGTTGGAAAAATTGTTTCTGGTTTTACTCAATTCACTGCTTTTCCCATGCCTTAGGAAGGTTGTGGTCTAAGGGATCATTGGAGTAGATGTCAACTGGTTTCTTGTGTGACCTCTGTGACTTTTAACCCTGGTCTTCTCCCCCACCTCAAAACCCATGCACTTTCAGTTTGTAATCCTACATTTTTTTCATAATCCTTTATCCCCACCTCATACTGTACCCAATAAAAGCTCCTTTTGTTTATCCGTCTGGAGGCTGGGATAGCAGTGTTGCTGGGGAGGGTGTGGTGCATGAGGACAGGGTTTTGTTGAAAAATACTAAATGCAGTATGTTTTTACAGTAAGTATGTTTATGTGGCAAAATAAACATTGGTTGAACTGTGAATAAATGGCAAAGTCATGTATTGTTTTATGCCCCATTTGTATGTTGTCCTGTATTTGTTGTCTTTAGGGAATCTTTAAATATTTAACTTATTTCTGTTGTTCATATTGTGAATTTTCGTTTCTATGAGAGTAGTTTTCAGCCTATTTGTTGCACTTTGGAGTCAGGAACATTGCTACACCCTCTTCAGGATGCTGGGGGACTCTTGTGAGTATACCCAACAGGTCAATTCTGGATCTGGAGAAGACATTCAATGGTGTCCATCATGATGTCAGGTGGAGAGTTCCATGGAAGAAAGGGGTTCAAGGCTCCCTCATAAGGGCAGTCTAGTGTTTCTTTGACCAGAGCAGGAACTTGGCTCGTATTGCCAGCAGTAAGTCTGATTATTGAACCCCATTAGGGATGCCTTCTGTCCCTGGTTCTGTTCCTTATTTTTCTCCAGCAAGGGGCTGGAGAGAGACGGATCGGTTGAGAATCATTACCTCCAAGATACCTCCAAGCACCTATCAGTACCTACAAGACCGCCATGGTTCTCAGTCAGGAAAAAGCATGTTCTCTTTCCAAGCTGGGAGTCTCTAGCGCACATCAGGCAGGAGGCGGGGGTACACCCTGGACAGGTCGCCAGTCCATCGCAGGGCAACATTTACTCCCACATTCACACCTAAGGGGAATTTAGATTATTCAATTAACCTGCCACATGTTTATGGGATTGTGGGGGAAACCGGAGAACACAGGGACAACATGCCCGTCGAGCCTCAAACTGGCAACTTTCTAAATGGAAGGCCAGAGTGCTACCCACTGCACTGCCAAACTTTGAATATCTTGAGGTCTTAGTCATGAGTAACGAAAACATTGGCAGATGGATCAGTACTGCTGTCAATGGACCGGTCCATCACGATGAAGAAGGAGGCATCAGGTGTTTTTTCATGTGTTTTCATAAATTCACCAAACTAGAATCAACTCCTAAATGTAGAGGTCTGCTCCCCCTGCTTCCCGACCCTGTATTAGAAAAACATAACAAAATATGTATGTCAATGTTACATATATTTATTGTACTTACAGACGGTTGCTTTAACATGACTCCACGATGCCTAGAGTAAATTGAACACATTTATGTTCTGTAGTAGTAATGTTCTGTACATGAGTTATTTTAAATTTTCACATTTCAAATTACAATTAAAACCAAATGGATGATTGCTTTGTGAGAAATAAAATCGCCAAATGAGTGAATTAAACACCCTTGAATCAACAGTAACAAAACCCACTGCACAACACATTTCTCTGAATGTGTAAAAACAACTCTCTCTCTCTCTCTTAATTTCTCTCTCTCTTTTCAACTTTACTCAACTCTTCAACTCAATCTCAAACTTCCTGTTTTTTGTAATTTCCGTTTTTTTTTTTTTACCAATAGTAGCAAGGAAAAGCTTCTTAATCACAATCAGAAAGCATGTTCTGAATAATTCCACTTCTCTACGTAGAACATCTTTGTTTATTTACCTGGTATAAATTGAAAATGCTTCTCCCAGACTCAATTTGATTTGGAAAAACTCCTGAACAACAGTTTTCACTATTTTGAGATCTAATTCTAGGTTGCTCACGTTTCATCGGAGATACAGGTGGTATTCGCAAAGTCATTAGTAAACAGCTGAGTCCTGGTGTAAACAGTTTGGACATAAAGTAATGCACATACAGTGCTTGGATTAGGACCCCAGAGGACACCTAATGGGGTTCAGGTTGGATGCACTATATAATGGCAATTATTTGCTGTCTTTCAAAGGAATCCGTGTCGTTGGAGGTCTAATACCATGGTAAGTGTTTCCATATGGGAAGACAAAATAGGCTTTCACAATTACGTAATTAGTGAGGAATAATTACTTGAATACACATTATCTGAATCAACAAAGAGTTTGGAAATGTTTAACTGAATATTTCACTAAAATACTCCAATCAATTATCTTAACTTGAAAATATTTAACTGAATATTTCACTGAAATA